AAATCGCAGAGTGTGGGTTAGGGGCGAGTGGGATCGAAGCGATTTCAAGTAGGGGTGGGGCTGGGATCGAAACTAGAGCGGGATGGATTAGGGGCGGGGACGAGTCTCAGTTCAATTGGGGTGAGGCGGGGATGGTTGGGATCGGGGTAAGGCGAACCCGGGGGGAAACGGGATGGGCTCAAAGAGGATATCGGGCTGGAATTGGGTAGGTGGGTGGGTAAATCGGCGGGCGGATGGTTGGGTTTGACTTTGTGGAGCAGAAGTGAGGGGCGATTTAGTGTTTGTCTTTTGCGCAAGAGGGCTCAGGAAAAAATTGGGGAAGGAAATGATATATGGAGCGATTGGGCTATCAGATAAGATGAATGTTATCCAGGGGTCGATTAGAAATGGGGAATGTGGGAGGAAGGGAAAAAACAGGTCTGCAATGAGAGTAGACGAAAGCAGCGAGTTTGGGAAAAAAGAAAGATGAACCGGAGACAGAGTGATGACACCAATAGTCCGGGAGATTGGGAGCGGGTGGGAATGAAGAATAGGGGCAGGATGAATCTGATAAAAGCGGGAGATGACGGGGTTGATTCACGGGACGTTTGATGGAAATTAGTAAGGAAATTCGAAAAAGAAGGCGTACTATCGGGAAAGTGATGGGGAAAGAAAAGAAAAATGTTAATAGTTTTAATGGGTGACCGATGGAGTTAATAAAATCTCACTTGTGTTTCGCTAGATCGCTTACTGGAGTGCTGTTTGTCGACCCGTTCCGCCCTTCTTGAGAAGCTTCAGCTTTGGAGCTCCATTTGTCCTCCCTCGTCGTTTCCAGCTACGTTACAGTCTCTAGATATTCCTCGTTGGCGCTTCCTTCGACAGTAGTCTTCGTCAGACCATCTCGCTTTCTTCCATCCTCTCGCTACCTTCCTCCCTCTCTTCGTCTTTTCTCGTTTGCACTTTCTCTGTTTGACAGTCCGCCGTAGTCTCTCCCTCTTCTCTTCCTCCTTCTCCCACTTTCCCTTTACTCCCCCATCCTTCCTCTCTCCCTCTCTCCCACTATCTCCCCCTCTCCCCCTCCGTCCTACTCTCTCTCCCTCTCCTGCTTCCTCCCCTGCTCTCTTTCCCTCTCCCTCTCTCTCTCTCTCTCTCTCTCTCTCTC